TTGACATATGCATTGTTCCAGGACCAAAAAATGATGTTGATACAGGAGCAGACGGTTATCCTGATGACTAATATCATTAATATCATGCTTATATTTTAACACTATATGTTTTTTGATGGCATGAGTTCACATGTTCATAAACAGCATAATTTGAGAATATTATTTGTTGTCTTCGAGTTGCATGTAATAATGCAGCCTGGTCTCATGTTTATAGTAGGTACGTTTTTATTAATTCTAAAACGTACAATTTAGACGTATTTCAACGTTTAAAACGTACAAATCGCTACGTATTTTTAGCTAAAAAACGTAAAAATATTTACGTATCTTTTATATCATTAAGATATTCGTATCAATGCATTTTTATAATGTTATCATTAAGCGATTTAGATTTTTAGACCCCTTAACCTACCTCCAAACCTAAACCTACCCATTTTACAGCGAATATGCTTTTTTATCATTTTATTAATACGCTATTTAGATTTTTAGACCCCTTAACCTACCCCCAAACCTTAACCTACAGTAATCCAAATAATGATGCGTTGCACCCGCAGTCCTCTCTGGCAGATTACAGTAGGTTTGTGTGATCCAGAGCAGAATTTATGTTGTTAATCGACTCCAGATGCAAGATTGCTGGCATCGTAGATCAGGAGTTTAGGAGCTTCTCCAGGTTTCTGCAGATACCAGCTCATGTCATCACCAACTCCGCTGGTCCCAGTGCAGCTGATAGAGACAGAATCTTCTGCTTTAACAGACAGAGACTCAGGAGACTGAACCTCTTCATGAGACACTGAGGGAGACAACAAAAACAAATATTACAATACTTCAAAATACAAAGACAAGTTTTCATCTGCTATAAAACAGTCAATCTAAATATAATAAAACTAAAAAGAAAGCACAAATTAAAATATTATAAAATAAATTCCAAACAATTAATTCCATAATGTAGAAAATATATTTTTGAACCTTGACAGAGCAGACAGAGTGTCCCCAGCATTAGAATAAGATAAATCATTGTTTCCTATGTATGTATGTAAGTGTTACACACTAATAATCATCAGTGGAGTTTTAAGCACAGTGTTCAGTTAATATGCAAAACACTTTCCAAAACACATTCAGATGCATCCTGGAATTTACCTCAAAAACTTTCAAAACACATTTTGCAGCATTTAATTAATTAACATTAATGCAATAAAAATGTTTGACCTATATAAGCAAAACTAACCTAAGATACAGTGTTTTATTGTGAGCGTTAGTGTTTATGTCAGTGTCAGTTTTAGTGCAGGAGGTTTTTGTACAGCCTCTAATTGAGTTTGTATCACTGGGGCGCTCGTTCGGTGGAGGCACCCGACTCTCAGTTGGAAGTTAGTAAATCTCTTTCTATTTCTATTATTTCTGTTTCGATTTATATTAATTAATTAGTTAGTAATAATAATAATAATAAGAAGAACAGACCAATAGAAGAAGAGTAACTAAAATTAAAAAATAGGCTATCCTCAGACATTTTTTTTGCCTTGTGTAACAGCATATAGGCCTACTTCTAAATGGGTTGAAATTAGTTAGTTTACCTTTTTATCTATTTGAGTGGTAAATAAAATATATGCATTTTATAGATTAGGTTTATGCACTTCACGTGAAATAGAAATATGTCTAACTACGGTTTCAGATGTCAGTTACTATATAAGTACTGTAAAATGGGGCAATAAACATGTAATTATGAACTGAAAATAAATTTCTTTCATTTTTTACATTTTTCATGAGGAGGAAAAAAAGGGACATTATTTAATGCATAGAGGAACAAAATAAAACACGATAGTGTGGGGATCCCCTCTGCCTATCAAACAGCCAAACATAAAAAGAGATTTTTCTAAGAGAATACACAAACAGTTCAGTTGCTAAGGGAACGAGGTTCCCTGTATGTATCCTATAGTATTGCCATAGTGCTGCATCGAATACACGTCAAGGTCTGAATATATTGTTCAGAATATAAACCTGAAAGGTAAATATAAATCCAATAAATTTAAGTCTCATATAGTCATACATCTTGATTTTTATGAACACTGAATATATGAATATGAATATTACTAATGTGTTTTTACAGGCTGTTGAACTTCAGATCTGCTTCACAACTTCGAATTCAACATTAAAATAAATAATGTGTTGTTTCAAAATTAAGCGTTTGCTCTACTTAAAATAATGAGTTTATTTTGGTTAAGCTGGGTATTTAATGCATCTCAAAAATCTTAAGTTGATATATCTAATTGCAGCATTATTTTACAGTGTTGATTAAGTTTTTTTAATTACTTTTTTCATTGAATGTCACATGAGACAAATATGTTTTCTTCTGGTGTAGTTTTCAAACTACAAGTAGCTATATCTAATACAGTAGGTTTTTAACAAATAATTGAGCAATAACATGAATATATGTTGACAGAAACCATATAATATAACATTATCTATAATGAACAAATTATAAAGTATGTGTGATGGCTGGTAAAACTTGTTTTTATGGGCTGCTGCACTTGAGATCTGCTTGATTAACTCTGAATCTCTTAAAGGGAAGTGAAAGACACTCAGAAAGACTGATAGAGCTGTTTTTCAGAAGAATGAAACATCACAGTTTCCATCTGTGTCTCTCTTTAGCTGCGGCTCGTCCCGCTCTCACAGTGCTGCCTCCCTCCAGAGACGAGCTGCAGCAGGGTAAGGCTACAGTGCTGTGTGTGGCCAGTAAGGGATTCCCCTCTGACTGGAAGCTGAGCTGGAAGGTGGACGGCAGCAGCAGGAGCTCTGGTGTCGATCTGAGTCCCAGTCAGCTGCAGAAGGATGGACTGTACAGCTGGAGCAGCAGCCTGAGCCTCACTGAGAGTGAGTGGAGCAGAGCAACAACCGTCAGCTGTGACGCCACGCACCCGTCCCACAATGCAGTCACCAAGAGCCTCAACACACAGCAGTGCGATGATGACCAGTGGAAAAACTCACACACACACACTGCTGTTAGTATGCTATTTCATGCTGTTAGTTTATTGCTTATATATTCTTATCTTTTGTAATTCTACAACTGCAATGCTCTGAAAGTTGTGTTGCTCATTTAATTCTTGCTGCCAAATAAAAGCATTTTGTTACAAATATGGTGTTGAATTTTGTGAACCTTTAAAAAAAAAAAATATATATATATAAAATAACGCTTTTATTGGTTTTTTATTTTTTTAGGTTGTGTGATATTGTGATGAGCAGCATGGATAAGTAGAGAATATTTAAATATTGAAAATATCAATTACAGTAAAAGAGATATTTATGATAAAATATTTTAGCTACATTTAATTAATGAAGTTCATAGTTACTGCATGAGTACATTCATTGTGTCGTCTGACTGAGGGAGGTTTTTGTACAATGCTGTTTCACTGTGTAAACACTGGACCAACATAAACCCCCATAGAGTAATAATCTCCTGCATCCTCAAGCTGGATTCCATGCAGGGGCGTACTGGGGCTAAAAAGAGGCCCAGGACTTTCTGGCACAGAGCGGCCCACCACACCCGGTCCGCAACACATCACACCATAAACCCACCAGCTCATTATGCACAGAGCAATTTTTAACACCACTTACAAACATAAAAATATAACACAATACAGAAATAAAATGCTATCTATTTTTTTTTTTTATTGAAATTCTTATTAAAGGGGTCATATGATGCTTTTTTAAAGATCATTATTTTGTGTATTTGGTGTAACAGAATATGTTGACATGCTTTAATGTTCTCTATCCGACACGACTTGAACGCACCATAAGAACCATTTTGATAACTCATTTGATCGATTCATTAAAAAGTGAGTTGTTCATTTGCGAATCAGGTAGCCTACCGCTGGTTCTTACTTCTTAGTCTAAACGTACGACATATTGTTAATATTGTTGTCACAGAAAAACGTTACGCTAAGCCATTGTCAACTATGTAGCCCTTAATACTGAGCTCAATGACGGTGAGAGTGACATATGTTCTTTGACTATGATTTTGTAGCCTATATGAATAGGCTTAAAATGGGTAAACTTGCACTCTTCCCATTTTCTTGCTAATTATAAATTATAATTATTATTATGAATACAACATATATAAATATCTGTTGTAATGACCAACAACTGTCGGTTAAACTCACCGTTCTCTGATTTAAAAACATTGTCCATATGTTGCTTATGCAAAACTCGAGCTCTTCACAGCTGAATGGACACACTGGTTAGTGTCAGTGTCAGTTTTAGTGCAGGAGGTTTTTGTTCAGCTGTTGATTGGGTTTGTATCACTGTGGTACACGTTCGGTGGAGGCACCCGACTCTCAGTTGGAAGTAAGTAAACCTCTTTCTTTTTTCAAAATGAAACACTAAATTAAAATAACAAGAGAGGATTTGTTTGTATTTTAAACACATTTTTAAAAAGAATACCCATGACTAATATAAGAATAAATTATTGAAAAGTTTTGTTCTGGTGTGACAATACCAAACACATGCACACTTTTCTTATTTCTTCTTCAGACCGATTTAAAACAGCCAATTTTTTTTATTATTGGGCATTTATCCATCAGAATGGTAAATTGTCTTTGACAAACAATGTTTTAATTTAGTTAATGTCTGTATGAGTATGCAGTCTTAGATTATAGGCATGCATAATCACTCATTTATATACAAACAACCACACATACACAGCCTTACTAATGGACAAACAAGACAGTGTACCAATTTACTCATTATGTTAATCTTTCTTTAAGCCTGCTTTAACACTTATGATCAATTTTTAATAAAAGCATGTTATTTTAAATAAAAGCAAATAAAAGCTCTTTGAATCATTAATTGTGTATTATTATTTTGTCCTTATTTAATATTATTTCTTTATTTTACCATAGTATTTAATTATTTTTTTATTTTCCTTTCATTAGTTTACATGCTTTTATCAGTCACATGAATGGAATTGAACATCAGCATCACAAGAAAATAAACAGCTTATAGATTTCATTTTAAATATAGCAGGGAAAACCTGTTGTGGTTGTTAACATACAAAATAAAACAAAATATGGATTCTGGCTTATTTCACACTGAACTGGAGTATTCATGTTGTTAGTTAAAGCATGAATTTAAGAAGTTGCTTTGGCCATGGTGAGTTTGCTTTCATCAAGGTTGGATGGATTTTATTGGATTGTAGTTCATGTGGAAACCTGATTGAGACATTCTGGTGTTTATTATTGATTCAGCAGCCTTCTGTGTATGTGTGTTTGTAAGTCAGTGAGGTAAATAATGATCTTCAACATCAACATCTGCAGAAGCTCAAAGCTGCAGTGCTGCTGTATCACCCAGTGAGGTGTGTATGATGATTTTACACTGTGTGAACACCCAGTCTGTGGTCCCAGAGACTCCCTTGTTATATTTACTCTGACAGTAATAAATCCTGAATCTTCAGGCTGGACTCCACTGATGGTCAGAGTAAAATCTGTGTCCCTTCCACTGCCACTAAATCTAGAAGAAACACCTGAAGCTCTGTCTGATGAGTAATAGATCAGGAGTTTAGGAGCTTCTCCAGGAATCTGATGGTACCAGTGCATGCAATCCTGAGAGGTATCTTTTTTAACACAGTATACTGCTGGTTTATGATTACACTGAATAGTGACAGTCTGATCAGGCTTCACTGTTTGATCTTCAGATTGAGTCACAATCTGCCCCACAGAACCTGAAGAGAGACACAGAAAACACTGTAAAATAATATAAAACTGATAAGCACATTTAAAATCTCACACTTACTAGTAATCTGCCAGGTTGATGACACAATGTTTCTAACTGTTGCACTAAAAGGACTAAGCATTCTTTCCCATTTAATGAATCATACATAATGACAATGAAGGACTTGACTTGAAGATCAAAACAGTTAAAGGTCAATGCTAATGTAATTTGTACTGCACATGCTCGGGTAAAATGACAAAAAAAAAAAAAAAAATTTTATAAGTTAATTAATGATATATTTGCAAGAAATTAAGTCTAAACTAAATCTTGATCTCAGCACCTGAGAATCTGTGGGTTGCTTATTTTCTAGTTTTCTGTAAATCAGCTGATGATATGAATTTCTATAGGCATTTACTTACTCCAGGTGCAGGTGGTGAGTGTCCAAATAATGATGGTTATCAAAGTTAGTTAAAGGTCAATGTTAATGTAATTTGTACTGCACATGCTCGGGTAAAATGACAAAAAAAAAAAAAAAAATTTATAAGTTAATTAATGCATATATTTGCAAGAAATTAAGTCTAAACTAAATCTTGATCTCAGCACCTGAGAATCTGTGGATTGCTTATTTTCTAGTTTTCTGTAAATCAGCTGATGATATGAATTTCTATAGGCATTTACTTACTCCAGGTGCAGGTGGTGAGTGTCCAAATAATGATGGTTATCAAAGTCATGTTTGCTTTAGGATCTGTTATCATGAAGGAGAGCGATCAGTCATAAAATCGTAAAGTCACAGATCTATAAAGACCTCCAGAGCACTGTAGCATGAAGTTTAATGCAAAGTGTCTTCACAATGTAAATGTTCTTTCTGAGAACAACAACCTCTCGTACTGTCAAGGAACAAATTTCAATTGTTAATCTAGCTGAGCAGGTATTTTTGATTTAATGATTCCTTAAAGACAGACCATTTTTGTCTCTTACCAGGACTGTAACATCAAGAAAGATTCAGCATTCTTATCAACCTATAATTTCCCTATTATTTGTGCTGACGTTTATGACGAGAGTTTCTTTAGCACACACAATGAATGTTCCAGAACTAACAAATGATGTTCATCCAGGAACAGATGTTGATCATGATGTCTGACTTCACATACCATTTAAATACTAACAATTCTACTAAATTAAATAAAAACTGTTACATGTTTGATCATTACTTTTATAATATATATTATGAAATAAAGCAGGGGTGCCCAATCCTGTTCCTGGAGATCTACCTTCCTTCAAAGTTAATTTCTAACCCTGATGAAACCAACCAATTAGGATCTGATGGAGCACTTGATAATTACAGACAGGTGTGTTTGATCAGGGTTGGAACTGAACTCTGCAGGTAGGTGAGCTCCAGGAACAGGATTGGGCACCCCTGAAATAAAGTATAATGTACATGTTGTGGTTGTGAGGAGCATGACATATTCAAATTTTAAAATTGAAAATATAATTAAAAAGAGAATTATGGCAGTGACTTTCCGTCCATATAAGCTGCGAATGCTCCGCATACCCAGGCCATTTGAGAGAATAAGTTCACGGGATAATTAATATAAACATGATTATAAGTTGATCCCTTGTCATTTGAAATGTAACTTAAAGCTTAAAGAGTTAGGAATAAGTACATAAAATGATTTATATGCCAAACGGGAGTAATTTTCTGTGAATCTATGTCAGTTGCGGTTGCTTCCGGGCGAGCGGATTCTCGCAGCTTTCTCGTCTCCACTCTGTTGCTATGACTCGTCATGATTATAGCGCGTTCTCATTGGTTTACTGGCCTGCGGCTGATTTCATGCGCGAGGTAAGCTGTCCGCAAAGCGCTCGCCCAAGCAGAAAAATGTGCTGTTGCTGTCAGATCTCGGTTGCCGAAAATCACATTATGTTTGATGCAAAACCAACTCGACTAAATCAAAAGAAAAAAACACTGTAACTGTATTTTTATGTTTTCTCAAGCAAAGCAAATTTTTAAAAGTCCACTGAAAACATATCTTCTTACATTTTTGGTTATAGACAAGGTATGTTGAAGATATAGGTTATTGTCAACGTTATTGCCTAAGCGGTAAAAGAAAAAAACACTGTAACTGTATTTTTATGTTTTCTCAAGCAAAGCAAATTTTTAAAAGTCCACTGAAAACATATCTTCTTACATTTTTGGTTATAGACAAGGTATGCATGTTGAAGATATAGCCTACGTTATTGTCAACATGCCTAATTGGTAAATAAAATTTTTTTTATAAAAACGTGGGCTATATACAATTTTAATAATAAAAAACATCAGGAAAAGAAAGAAACATGAATCCTCTGAACATTTTGAACATTAACATGTTATTGTTCCTTTTGTTTTGCGTATATGCTCGTGTCGTTAAAGTCCTTCTCTGATTTTATTGTTGTTTGCCATGTTGCAAAGTTACTTGGCAATATTTTAAAGATATTATTATTTTGGGTATTTTGCATGGTCTGTTATTGGAGTAGTGTCACCTGGGTGGGAGTTTTAACTCCTATTCACTAAAAATAAAAAATAAAATAAATTTTTAAAAAAAACTTTAGCGGATGCAGAGACATATAGACCGGGGGAATCCCTCATCTCCCTCTGAATATTACGTAGGCCTATCATAACGTAACTATGTGTAAACGTTATTTGGTGGTTTTTACTTGGAAATCCAGCTATATTTTTTCTAGCATTCGAATAACAATGGATAAACCTGAAACGACAGAAGAAGGATTGGAGATGAATTTAATTTACAAATAAGGTAGGAAATGTGCATACTTTTAAATCGACACCTACCACGGTGTTTCTTATTTGTCATCTGTGATCCCTCTTTGAGTGCGTCCTAAAAGCTGATGGGAGGGGTGGTGGTGGGGGGGGGTCTTAATTTGATCACTCAGCATACCCAGTTATAAAAGTCACCGCTCGCCACTGAATTATGGTATTTTTTCATTGTCTAATTTCATGTTCATACACAGAATAATGGGATGTGTTTTATACATGCTGCATTTAAACAGTTATTCCAGCCTATGAATCTTGAAAGTTGTAGAATCTTGACAACTGAGTCAAAGATAATTGGAGATAATTGACATAAGGCTAACTTTTCTTCATTTCTATTCTTTTCAGCTGAAATGATGACAATTAAAATTTCATGAACAGACTGAATAATTAAAATCTTACCCACTGTTGTTTAAAATGGTACAAATTATGGCACATAGCTTGAAATTTATACAGTTCTGTGTTATTGTCTTTAGGGTTAAAACAATTAAAAGGATAAATGTAAGAATATGTTTGGTTACAAACAGAGCCAGAATATGTTTATTCAAATTTAATTCATACTGAACTAACTATGTGAGTAAGATTAATTATGATATTGATATTGTGAACTCAGCATTCACGTATTTTCAATGTGTCAGACTGAAGGAGGTTTTTGTATGATGCTGTTTCACTGTGTGAACACTGGGCCTTCATAAACCCCCATACAGTAATAAACTCCTGCATCCTCAAGCTGGACTCCACGTATGTTCAGTGTGAAATCAGGTTCAGATCCACTTCCACTGAACCGATCTGGGACTCCAGATTCAAGTCGACTGGCTGTGTAGATCAGGAGTTTAGGAGCTTCTCCAGGTTTCTGCAGATACCAGCTCATGTCATTACCAACTCCGCTGGTCCCAGTGCAGCTGATAGAGACAGAATCTCCTGCTTTAACAGACAGAGATTCAGGAGACTGAACCTCTTCGTGAGACACTGAGAGAGACAACAAAAACAAAAACAGTCACATTTATGTCTGTGATAAAACCATTAAACCAAATACACTACAAAATAAAAAGCAAAGCACACATTCAAATTTTTAAATAAATTCCACAGTTTTTTTTTTTTGTCATAATGTAAAAATATATTTTTGTACCTTGAGCAAGTGTCCACAGCATCAGAATAAGAGAAATCATTGTTTCACGCATGTTGGTGTCACACACTAATAATCATCAGTGGAGTTTTAAGCACAGTCTTCAGTTAATATGCAAAACACTTTCAAAAACACATTCAGATGCATCCTGGAATTGACCTCAAAATCAATACAAATACATTTTGCAGCATTTTATTTATTAACAGTTTATTTCTATTTTTGACGTGAATGAATTAAAATGTATTATTAGTTTTAGTGTCAGTCTTAAGAGCAGTGTCAGTGTTATTTTGAGTGTTGATTTTTTAGTGCAGGAGGTTTTTGGTGGACTTTCGGTGGAGGCACCCGACTCTCAGTTGGAAGTAAGTAAATCTCTTTCCATTTTACAAAATATTTATATAAAAAAGAAAACCACAGAACAAGAGATGTGAGAACAAACTAGGATTTTAAAAAAATTACAGTGTGTAACATGACCACAGTCAATAATTTATCTAATTGGTAAATTATAATTTAATTGTGTTTCACATGGGAAATATACCTTACTCTTGTTTCAGATGTCAGTTACATTACTCTATAATTGGACACTAAACAAATATAAAAATCTAAATATATTGTTAAATATCAAATTATAAATCTAAATGTCTAAAGATTCGTTGTCTAACGAAAATGTTTTTTTTTCTTTTATACTTGGATATTTTAATAAAGAAACAAAACACAAAATCTTAATTTTCTGTGAAATATTTATTGAATAAAACACAAAATACTTTTCTTTTTAAATTCTGAGCATGCTATTACAAATCAGAATCTGAGAGCTAGATGTTTAAAATCAGATATATGTACATTTTAGTCTGATATAGTTATACATCTTGTTTTTTTTTTACACTAACCTAATGCATTAGCCAACTAACAATGAACAATACATTTCATATGTTAATCATTAAAATTTATGTTAGTTAATAAAAATAACAGTTCTTTGATAGTTCATGTTAGCTCAGATCCATTTAATAGTTTTTTTACAAAACTTTTTGAGTGTTGATTTTTTAGTGCAGGAGGTTTTTGGTGGACTTTCGGTGGAGGCACCCGACTCTCAGTTGGAAGTAAGTAAATCTCTTTCCATTTTACAAAATATTTATATAAAAAAGAAAACCACAGAACAAGAGATGTGAGAACAAACTAGGATTTTTAAAAAATTACAATGTGAAACATGACCACAGTCAATAATTTATCTAATTGGTAAATTATAATTTAATTGTGTTTCACATGGGAAATATACCTTACTCTTGTTTCAGATGTCAGTTACATTACTCTATAATTGGACACTAAACAAATATAAAAATCTAAATATATTGTTAAATATCAAATTATAAATCTAAATGTCTAAAGATTCGTTGTCTAACGAAAATGTTTTTTTTTCTTTTATACTTGGATATTTTAATAAAGAAACAAAACACAAAATCTTAATTTTCTGTGAAATATTTATTGAATAAAACACAAAATACTTTTCTTTTTAAATTCTGAGCATGCTATTACAAATCAGAATCTGAGAGCTAGATGTTTAAAACCAGATATATGTACATTTTAGTCTGATATAGTTATACATCTTGTTTTTTTTTTACACTAACCTTAGCCAACTAACAATGAACAATACATTTCATATGTTAATCATTAAAATTTATGTTAGTTAATAAAAATAACAGTTCTTTGATAGTTCATGTTAGCTCAGATCCATTAAATAGTTTTTTTACAAAACTTTTTTATTTAAGTATATGTTGCATTTAACATTAACTAAGATTAATAAATGCTTTCAACCAATGTTAGTTTGTGTTAACTATAGTTTTCTAAGGTTCAGGTGAACAAATGAAACCTTATTATTAACCTTTACCATATATTATAATGAATACTGATTATCTAAAATCTGAATATTATGAGTCAGTAAATGTGTTTTTATGGACTGTTACACTCAGATCTGCATGATTAACTTTGAATCTCTTAAAGGGAAGTGAAAGACACTCAGAAAGACTGATAGACCAGATATATGTACATTTTAGTCTGATATAGTTATACATCTTGTTTTTTTTTTACACTAACCTTAGCCAACTAACAATGAACAATACATTTCATATGTTAATCATTAAAATTTATGTTAGTTAATAAAAATAACAGTTCTTTGATAGTTCATGTTAGCTCAGATCCATTAAATAGTTTTTTTACAAAACTTTTTTATTTAAGTATATGTTGCATTTAACATTAACTAAGATTAATAAATGCTTTCAACCAATGTTAGTTTGTGTTAACTATAGTTTTCTAAGGTTCAGGTGAACAAATGAATGAAATACACACACATGCTGTTAGTATATTGCTCATATTTTCTTATCTTTTGTAATTCTACAACTGCAATGCTATAAATGTTTTGTTGAAATAAAAGCATTTTGTCTTAAATATGGTGCTGAATTATTACTAAAATATGAAATACTGTACCACTTCTTTTGGTTTTTAATTTTTTAGGACGTGTGATGTGATGAGCAGCCTAGAGAATATTTTTATATTGAAATATAAATTACAGCAAAAGAGATATTTATTTTAACATGACATCTTAACCATTATATTTTAATTTAATAAAATATTTAATTTTTTCATTAAATATTAGTTCAACATTTAAGTTATTTGAGAAATCACATTGATAATAATATGGCTTTACTGATAATTTTTAGCTTATTTTACTTAATTGCATTAAAATTGGGCTAATAGTCTGAAGTCTTTAAATGGGTGTCAGGATTTATGCACTTAAACAGGATGAAAGAAAAAATTAACTGTTCATCACAGAATCATAGACAGAAAGTGTAGATTGATTAAATATTTTGTTCATACTGAGAAATTAATTTCTCATTTAATATAAATTAGTACATAATTGCTGAGTACATTCACTGTGCCGTCAGACTGCAAGGTTTTTGTTCGATGCTGTTTCAATGTGTGAACACTGTATTAGAATAAGTCCCCTTACAGTAATATTCTCCTTCATCCTCAAGCTGGACTTGACGTATGTTTAGCATAAATTCATATCCAGAATAAGTTCCACTGAACCTGTCTGAAATTCCAGATGTAAGTTTACTTGTATAGTAAATCAGAAGTTTAGGAACTTTTCCAGGTTGTAGCAGATACCAGCAGTGTTGGGGTTACAAGAAACGCAAGTTACATAATCAAATTACTTTTTTTAAGTAACTAGTAAAGTAATGCATTACTTTTTAATTAATTAGGAAATATCTGAGTTACGTTTTCAAATAAGTAATGCCAGTTACTTTGTTTTCCCATGTATTGACTGACAGCTCTTCTGTCCCCATGTTGAGAGAAATCGGGAGTAAGTACAGAGGTGTTGTGTGCACTATGTGAACATGATGTTACTGTAATTCTAGACAAAATATAAACATGTATTTACTCATCTCACCTGCACAAAAACAGATTCAGTATTCCTCAAAATGAATAAAAACAGTCAAATGCAAACTCAGAATATTATACAAACCTGCAATAATTAAATATGTTAAATAAGACACATATCATTTATGCATTTAATCCCATTTTATTAACCAGTGTCTTTGCTACTAACCTTAGATGATCCAAATCAACCATACTAATAAGCAAAAATGACACATTTGTGTTTCATTTTTATTGCTGAATAGTGTTGAACTTTCTTCTCCTGCATCTTATTCTTCATGCAATTTGTTTGAGCTGCGCCCTCTACTGTACAGACATGAATTTACATTTCCTTCAGCCTGAGGTGTGTTCATTTCACTTTTGGTGGGCTTTTACATTTGTAATAGAATATTTTTTTTATATTAAAAACAAACTAGCAAGCCCTGCCCAGATTTAAAAGGTAACTCAAATGTAACGTAATGTGTTACTTTCCATAAAAAGTAACTAAGTAACATAATTAGTTACTTTTTTATATATTGACAGCATTTTAGAAAACCTTTTTTAGAAAATCTTTTCATATTGTAGATTTTTGTTTTGAGAAACATAGTCATGAAACAAATGATCACATTCCCTAATATTTCATTAATAATAACTATACTGGAGAAGCATTCAAATTTGCATCTACAAGAAGACAATATATGTAAATGTAATTAAATCTTTAATGAGATAATTTAATGAAAAAGTAACTAAGTAACATAATTAGTTACTTTTTGGGGGGGAGTAACGCAATATAGTAATGCATTGCTCTTAATAGTAACTTTCCCCAACACTGGATACCAGCTCATGTAATAATCAATTCCAGAAGATGCAGTGCAGCTGATAGAAGCAGAAGCTCCTGCTTTAATAGACAGAGACTCCCCATAGGAAAGAAATTATCAAAAGTGAGATCTCTTTAACATCTCAAATGTTTCTCCTAGACAGAAATGAGGTTACTTTAAGATCGAATGGAGGTTTTTGCCTGAGTATCCTGCTTCTCAAACTTGTCTCCTGAGACAAAAACTCTAACACTCTAACACGGGATCTCTCACATTTGTCTCTTTTAAATATTTAGAATAGACCTCAACAACATCATACACTGTGCTCAGATATGTCTCCTTAGCTAAAGACTGGTGGTCTCATATTTGTCTCCTACAATGTTTCAAACAAGTCAAGTCAAGTCACATTTATTTATATAGCGCTTTTAACAATACAGATTGTGTCAAAGCAGCTTTACAGTTAACCATGGTATTTGTAGAAAATCTGTTATTATTCAAATTGTCAATATGTCAAAAAAACATGTTTACTACACTTTTACTACAGTAAAACCATAGTTAATTGTCATAAGGGTTGGAGAACAATTACTCCGTGTCACCCCCTTTTGTTTAACAGAATTATACAACAGTGAGCGAGTCAAGTATAAAAGCCTTGTCTGTTTAGGGAGTAGCGCGCACAGACAGGCAGGAAGGCTCCAACTAACCTCAGCCTCAGATGTCACGCCCACGGACCTTTAGCTGAACGTCTGATGCATAAATATGTATAAACATATGGTCTGATGCATATGGCACACAAAATTAGAAACACTTCTCAACAACATCACACACTGTGCTCAGATTTTTCTCCTTAGCAAGAGACTCTGGATCTCGCACATTTGTCTCCTCATCCAGCGTCTCTAGCAAAGGAGAAAATCTGAGCACAGTGTGTGATGTTGTTGAGATCTCTTCTAAAGCTGTAAAAGAGACAAATGTGAGGGTGTTAGAGTTTTTGTCTCAGGAGACAAGTTTGAGAAGCAAGAGACTCAAGCAAAAGTTTCCATTCAATCTTAAAGTAACCTCATTTCTGTCTAGGATAAATAATTGAAATGTTAAAGAGATCTCATTTTAATTTTATTTTTCTTCCCTCTGGTTAGCTTCAATGTAATTTATCCACACCATTTCAATCAGACAATACATGCATTGTCATATTTGAAGTTGTTTTATGTAGACAGTGTTTTATTGCACAATGATTTAACAGAGAAAACCATAACCTATATTTGCATACATGCAAAAATGGGCTGTACAAGACAAAATGTTAATGCTAAACAAAGCAAAAAAAAAAAAACTGGTACACTGATAATTGTTAAAAAAAAGTATTGCTCTTATACTAAACATCTTGCACTTGTAAGTCCTTTCTAGTGTGTTTGGAAAATGTGGTGTATAAAAACCATAGTTAATTGTCATAAGGGTTGGAGAACAATTACTCCGTGTCACCCCCTTTTGTTTAACAGAATTATACAACAGTGAGCGAGTCAAGTATAAAAGCCTTGTCTGTTTAGGGAGTAGCGCGCACAGACAGGCAGGAAGGCTCCAACTAACCTCAGCCTCAGATGTCACGCCCACGGACCTTTAGCTGAACGTCTGATGCATAAATATGTATAAACATATGGTCTGATGCATATGGCACACAAAATTAGAAACACTTCAGGAATTTCGAAGTCGCCATCTGATTGGTCGAATTCTACTGGATTTCCAGGAGATGTTTGTGTCGCATTCTTTAACATTCCGCCTGGAAACAAAGATATCATGAAGCCAAACACCCTCATCGAAGAAGGAAGCCGTCGTGTTTACAACTGTGACGATGAGCATTTATCAGGATCAACTAAATGCTGGATTTATGTAAAATAATTAAATGAAATTTGGCCCCCAAACTCTGGAATAGCCTTCCTGACAACATTCGGGTTTAAGACACTCTCTCTCTGTTTAAATCTAGATTAAAGACACATCTCTTTAGCCAAGCATTCACATAATGTATCTCATAACCTTTTACTTGTTATATCTGATCAAATGCACATTATTATTTTGCTTGGGTTGAACACATAATTTTTGCTTGACCTGTTACATGCTCTGGATTTGTCGGTAAACTCAGTGATAATTGTTCTTGGATCTGTTTTTTTTCTTTTCTGAACAGGACATCAACCTTTCTCCTGTTGTTTTCTTTTTCCCATTTTTACCCTTGCAACAATCCTTTCTGTCTAGGATAAATAATTGAAATGTTAAAGAGATCTCATTTTAATTTTATTTTTCTTCCCTCTGGTTAGCTTCAATGTAATTTATCCACACCATTTCAATCAGACAATACATGCATTGTCATATTTGAAGTTGTTCAAACTTCACTGATTTAACAGAGTAAACCATAACCTATATTTACATACATGCAAAAATGGGCCGTATACAAGACAACATTTTAATGCTAAACAAAGAAGAAAAAAAAACAACAACAAAAACACTGGTACACTAGTGTTACATTTGTTAAAAAAGGGTATTGCTCTTATACTAAACATCTTGCACGTGTAAGTCCTTTCTAGTTTGTTTGGAAAATGTGGTGTATATACAATGCTGCACATTGAAGATAAATTTAAACTAGTAATATTTAAATGATAGTTTTAGCATTTACAATATTAGTAAAAGTTTAACTTTTCTCCTAAAATAAAACTGAAGACATCTTATGACAAAGCTTATATCTCAGTGAGACATATAAGACAATCACTCCTTAGTATCCTGAGTGTAGAGTTGCCTCTGTCAGAGTCATAGCCTTGTGGGCAGCACATCGATGTGAAGGCACAACTGCACTTCAGACAGCATGACTTTGAATCCCAGCTGAAGGTACTTCCTGCTCTTGTTTCCTTCTCACCTGTCCAATTGTTTCCTGTCTCTACTCCTACTGTCCTGACCATTAAAGGCGTACTTGTTATATCTGATCAAATGCACATTATTATTTTGCTTGGGTTGAACACATAATTTTTGCTTGACCTGTTACATGCTCTGGATTTGTCGGTAAACTCAGTGATAATTGTTCTTGGATCTGTTTTTTTTCTTTTCTGAACAGGACATCAACCTTTCTCCTGTTGTTTTCTTTTTCCCATTTTTACCCTTGCAACAATCCTTTCTCTGACTTTTTTTTTTTTTTTTGGCAATTTGAACTGAATTACATTTCACAACAATTTGAACTGAACTGCATTACACGACTGAACAGAACTGAATTCAACTGCCATACACATTTTTATTGTATTTTGTTTTCTTTTCTTTTAATGTCAGTGTCATGATGTAACATATGATTGCTTTACTTTGCCTGTTTGAATTTGATTGAATCAATTTTGGAGTCTTGATAGAGATTGCAGCAAGACAATAAAGAGATATTCTATGTTTCTTCCACCACATTCTCAGGTTTGACTCTTTTTTCTCAAATATTTAAGTTTGGTCTCGTTCTGTATCGCGTATCTTTTCAGTGTCTGCGCTTGCTTGGCCATTTGTTGGGGAGAAAATAAGGAAGGTGTGTTCAAGCGCCAGCAGAAAACAGTGTAAAGAAATAGTCGTTGAGAGAAGCAGTCTTTATCAGCGGAAGTTAAAAGCAGCCCGTAAGTGTATTTACTTGTCTCATTAGTGTTTAGTGCAGTTGTCGTTGCTAGGAAACGCTTGTTTTGTTTACTGTGTGGAGACGTGCTGATAATAGGAAAGAAGAGATTACTTTTATTACTTACCTTTTATCATTTGTGTGATTATCCTTCAATTGATTCATTGTTCTGTGTTTTGTTTGTCTAATAGTAAAGTGCCGGTTTTTGTTTCTTAAATCTGGTCTCCAGTCTAATTTTATGTTTATTTCTCCCACTCCTTGAGAAGCTAGAGCTGGTCCAGTAGCTTAAGTGTTGCGTTGGAGTACGCAGGTGCTACACTGACTAAATAAACTAAGAATAAATTAAATTAAAATATATTAAAATAGAAAACAGATCTTTTTAAATCTAATTTTACCACTTTTTGCCACATTAAAAAAAATAAATAAATATGATTTAAATGTGATATGAATGATATATAACACTATATTTTAAAATAGAATTTAAAAGATAATTTTCATGTTTTTTGATGGCATGAGTTCACATATTCATAAACAGTGTAATGTGATAATATGATCTGTTGTCTTCATGTTGCACATAGTAAAACTCAGGTCAGCATTTGCTGCTGC